GGGGGGGGTGGTGTGTGTGATGGGCCAGCTCTGGCACAGCACAGGGAATTCCTGATCCGGGAATTTGAGGCATTTTCCCACCTGCCAACCAGCCCAGCAACCTCTTTTTACTCCTCAGCCACTCCCAAACTGCTGCTGGGAAGCAGGAACAGTCACCAGCACCACCCAGAGCTCTGATTCCCAGCACGTGTCCCCCCCTCCCAGCCCAGCCAAGGGAGGCGTCAAAGGGAATTCTGGATGAAGACAAGAGCCTTGATCACACCTCACGTGGAAGGAGACAGAGAAAACCCCACCAGAGACTCCAGACAGAGGGTTGGGAAGTGTCTGGGAGAGGGAGGCAATGAGGGAAAGGCACCTCAGGGACTGCTGCTCCCAGGAAAAGAGGGATACAACACCCACAACAGGTTCAATCCTTACCCAGCTCTTCAAATAAACCCGATTTTACCTCCACACAGGTGCTGCTCCCCACCTCCAAGGCCTCACAATCCCCTCACTCCTCAAAAAATCAAAGATCCAGTCACATGTTGCAATAAATATTTATTTTGGGCACTGGCCACAGTAATTATTTTAAGCCAGAAGACAGAAATAATAGATTTTTAGCCATAGAAAAGGCACTGAGGAGCAAAGCTGACCTGGGACAGAGCTGGCCAAACTCTGGGAGTTTTCTGTCTCCATAGAGAAATTCAGCTGTTTTTTTAGGAGAGCTCAGGCCCCTCTGGCATAACCAACCCCCCTGCCCCAAACACACACAGGGGAGCCCCAGAAACCCCACTTTGTTCTCTTGGAACAAGGGAATCCTGCTCCTGGGGTATCTTCTGTGCAGAACCTGCCTTGGAACCCACTGATCATCCAGGAAAACAGGGCCCTGCTCTCCCAACCAGGACTCTGCCATCCCTATGGATAACACCCAGGGCTGGAGCCCGAGCCAAGGCAGAAAAAACACAGGCAGGAATAACAATCAGATGCACAAAGCAGGATCATTCCAAGAAAAACCCCAGGATCAGCCCCACACAGCACAACACGTGCTCCATGAATTTTCCTCTTGGAAAACTCTGGCACAGACAAGAGGCTGAGTTCATTTTGTCACAGTATTTTTAGACTCTGGCTCAGGGGGAGAATCTGTTGATCCAAACAAGTGTGAGTGGCAACCACAGCCCTGGGAAGGGAGAGAGAGCAGGGATTGAATGAAGGGGGAGAGACAGAGGAGCTTTATGGCCCCAAGAATCCAGGTCTGGCCTCTCCTTTGGTGGAGGAAGGGAAACATCTGCTTGAAAGATTCCCCAGGAGGCTGATCCAGCCTGCCAGGAACAGCCCAGCCAGGACTGTGCAGGATTAAAAAACTCCTCCCTGGGAGGGTGGGGAAGCCCTGGAATGGATTTCCCAGAGAAGCTGTGGCTGCCCCATATCCCTGGAAGTGTCCAAGGCCGGGCTGGAGCAACCTGGGATAGTGGGAGGTGTCCCTGCCCGTGGCAGGGGGTGGGACTTGTTGATCTTTAAGGTCTTTCCAAGCCAACCCATTCTGGGATTCTGAGATTCTGGGATTCTTCCCTTCTCCCCAACACCAATTTCAGTCAAAAGTGTCCACATTAAAAGGTGTCAGATCCCAGTATTCCCAAAGCAGCAGCACGATCAGGGCAGTCCAGGCCAGGCCCGGGGCTGTCACTGCTCCTCCGTCACCTTGCGCTTGTTCCGCCGCTCCATCTTCTTCTGCAGTTTCCTCCTCAGCTGCAGCTGCTTCCTCCTCTCCAGGGTCTGCTGCACCTTCTCCCGGCATTCCTTGTTCTTCTTCTTGATCTTGGCCAGCTCTGCCTTCCTTTTGGCCTCCAGGTCTGGATCCTGCAGTGTGGCAAAGGCAGGGCACCGGTGACACGCCTGGGGCAGCCCCTCGGCCCTTCCCAGGCACCCATGACTGAAGGGGGCTGCCAAGGTCAGACCCTCCTCCAGGGCACTTTTTCATCTCAACACATTTAATATACCCTTTAAAATAAACCCTCAGCACCCAGAAGGGGAGTGAGCCCTCACCCCACAGCAGTGAGGGAGGAGCTGTCCTTCCCTTTCCACACCAGGGACACCAAACCAGCTCTCACCTTCCCCTCAAGGATCATCTGTTTCCTCTTATTTATTTCTTTCTTCTCATCAAAATCCATCCCCTCCAGCTCCTGGCAAAGGGAGAACACAGCAGGGCAGTCAGTGACTGACACAGGGAGGAGCAGCACAACCCCAAAGGGTCACCAGGACATTTTGGGGCCTGCCCACCGAAAAGTATCAGTTTCGACACCCAGTAGCAAAAAAACCCGCTGCAAAATCGTGCAATAACAGAGCAAACCAAGGGAAGAGAAACCAAAACAACCCTCCCACACACCCCCCAAGTGTTTCTGCAGGGATCTGCCCAGGATCTCCAGCCCCCTGGACAAAGGGGCTCCTTGTTCCACTCACAATCTCACACTCCCTCCTGGTGACGTTCACTTGGGTGAGGATGTCCAGCACGTGCTGCTCCTCCACAGAGAACTCCTTCAGCTGCAGCTCTGAACCAGGGTGAGACATTTACACACCATTGGCTTGGTTAAAAAAACCCCCAGGGGCAGATCCTCAACTAGTGAAAAACCCACTGCAGCTCCTCTGACTGTGGGGGGAATTGTTGCCAGATGCTCTGATCACTCCAACCCCTTCAGCCCACAGCAGGTTCACTCCTCCCCTCTGCCCATGATTCCCCACAGCACAAGATGCTGCATTTACTGGCTCTACTTTCCTAAAAAAATGGAGAAATCTGAACCTGAAGCAACCTGTTCCTTTTGTCCACCTTGGCAAGAAGCTGCTTTAACAAAGAGGTTACAGAGAGAGCTCCAAGAGAAACAGCAGGAGGACAAACACCTGATTCAGGAGCTGAATCAGGAATTCTGGTGCTCCTGCTCTTTGCCACACAAGGGAGAGAAACCTTTTTGATGCTAAAGCTGATGAAATCAGGGCTCTGAGTGCTGCAATGTGTGATCCCACCTTCCAGCAGGATGCCCCAAGGCCCCACTCACTGATCTCCTGCTCGATGGCGTGCACCAGGTGGATGTCGTACTGTGTCACCAGGGTGATGGCAACTCCCTTCCGGCCTGCAGGGTGCAAAAAGAGGGACAGGTGAGTCCTGACAGGCAGAGGGAGATGAACCCAATCCATTCCAAACCCACCCACCCCCGAGTCAGCCTGAGGGGTGCTCAGAGGGGTCTTTATTTATTCCGTTCGCTCTCGGCGCGGCTCAGACCCGGCATGATCCATCACTGCGATCCTAAGGCAGGATTCCAGGGATCCCAGCGGATCTGGCACTGCCTGAGAACCCTGCAGTGCTGCTGGGACACCTCCTGACCCTCCCCACCCAGGGCCCAGCCCCTCCCTGGATCCCAGGGACGGGGATCCCAGCGGGAGTTCTGCCGCTCACCCGCGCGCGCCGTCCGGCCCACGCGGTGGATGTAGATTTTGGGCAGGCCTGGAGTGTTGTGATTGATCACAACCTGGACTGTGGGAATGTCCAGCCCTCTGGAATGCAAGCAAAGAGAGCAGAGAGTGAGAAAACAGCTTTAACATGATAGAATTATAGAATTATAAAATCCCAGAACGGTTTGGGTTGGGAGGGACCTTAAAGACTCCACCCACACCTTCCACTATCCCAGGGGTGTCTGCAGTTTAATTCCTGCTCTCTGCTTTCTCCAGCGGCCTCATATTCCATTAATATGGTCTTTATTGGCTGACTGGAGGACAAACTCTTCCCTCACACAACTCTCCAGCAGTTAAGAAATTCCCAGGGAACACACTGAGCCTCAGAGAAACCTTCCTCCTAAACACACACACCCGGTCAGAGCTACTTCACACACACACCCAGGGTCCAAAACACAGCTCAGAGGTGTTGTGAACACCCCTGTCCCACCCAAGTGTAGGGGATTTAAGGGTCTCCTCTTGCTAAACTCAGCCTGAACTCCACAGTGGTTGTGACCTTTGGGAACAGAGCCCATGTTTGTACCTGGCAGCGACATCAGTGGCAATGAGAATCTTGAAGATGCTGGATTTGAACTTGGCTAAAGCTGCAAATCGCTGCCTCTGTGGAGAGAAAAGTCTGTGTGAGGGATTTGGATCCACAGGAGCTGCAGGGCTTGGAGTCTCCCAGCTCAGGGATGCAGCTGGACAAGCAGCCACCTCCCAGATCTGCCCATCCCTCACCTGTTTCATCATGGAATGCAGAGCTACAGAAGGGAAGTTGTACTTCCTGAGCATCATGTTCAAGACCTGGCAGTCCCTTGAAGGAAAGAAAACCAGAAAAACAATCAGGATGTGCCAAGGAAATGGATCAGGACAGAGCTGGGACAGGGGCAGGAACACCCTTACACTGGACCTGGCCTTGGACACTGCCAGGGATGGGGCAGCCACAGCTTCTCTGGGTGACCTGTGCCAGATGTAAAGACACATCAAAGCTGCCCTGAGGAGCAACTCCACTCACTTGCAGGTTTTAGTGAAGATGATGATGGACCAGTCCTCGTGCTCGTCCTGGAAGGTCTGGATCAGGTGCACCAGGTAGGCATCTTTCACTGCCTCAGGCACGAGCAGGTACCGCTGGTCCAGCTCCTCCACTGTCCTCACCCTGCCAGGGGGGAGCAGCAAGTGAAGATCAAGGGAATCCCAGAATCCCACAATCACTGAGGCTGGAAAAGCCCTCCCACCCTGTGCCTGACCCCCCCCTTGTCCCCCAGCCCAGAGCACTGAGTGCCACGTCCAGGCCTTCCTTGGTCACCTCCAGGGATGGGGACTCCAAACCTCCCAGGGCAGCCCCTTCCAATGCCTGAGCACCCTTTCCATGGAGAAATCTCTCCTGATGTCCAGCCTGACCCTCCCCTGGCACAGCTTGGGGCCTTTCCCTCTTGTCCTGTTGTTCCCTGGGAGCAAAGCCCGACCCCCCTCAGCTCCTCCCTCCCGTCAGGGGGTTGCAGAGCCAGAAGGTCCCCACTGAGCCTCCTTTTCTCCAGGCTGAGCCCCCCCAGCTCCCTCAGGAGTTCTCCAGTCCCTTCTCCTTGTGCTCCAGCCCCATTCCCTTCTCTGGACATGCTCCAGCCCCTCAGTGTCTCTCCCACAGTGGGCCCAGCAGTGGAGGTGCCTCAGCAGTGGATGGGACAGCAAATCCAGGGATAAAGGAGCAGGGAGGGGATGGGATTGCTCCGGACTCACTCAGACTGGGCCTCCCAGAAGAAGGGCTCGTTGGCAGCCAGGCCTCTGAGCTCGCTGAGGGTGGCAGTGAGGGTGGCACTGAACAGCAGGGTCTGGCGCCGCGCCGGGACGTGCTCCAGGATGAGCTCCAGGTCGGCGGTGAAGTCGGCACAGCCCTGCTCCAGCAGCCTGTCAGCCTCATCCAGCACCTGGGAACGGATCCCCCTCAGCCCTCAGCTGGCTGGGAACACCCACGGGGCATCCCAAAAAAAAACCCCTCGGGAAAGGGCCTGTCCTGGTTAGAACAGCTGGGACCAGTTCATCACTGGATGGGTGTAACCCAAAACTGTGTATTCTACAGCCTTCCATGCCATTGCCCAGAAACTGTTATCAATGAACCATTTACACCCTCTGCCCAGAGCAGCCCTGACTCCTCAGGCTGTAAACTGGGTGTTCAGAGGCCTGGGAGATAGGAGGGTGCTCCTGTCCTCACACCCAGTGTGGAACCCTCCACCCTGAGGGAGGCACTGGGCATTCCTGCCTGAACTGGAGGATAGATAATCTTGGGGTCTTGGGACTTTTTTAACCACTCATGGGATCCAGAGAAGGGCTGGGACCACCACTCTCAACCAGACTGCACCACCACTCTCACCAACAGGTTTTTTCCCCTCTCCTTTTCCTTTGGACTCAGGGGGCCCAATGAACACCACTCTGTTCATGCCCCAGGGTGCTGGGTTATACATTTGGGTTTCGTGGGTTAAAACCAACTGTTTGTCTGTATAATCGTACTTATTGTATTATTTTATTTTAAATTGTTATTCTGACTTATAATCTCTCCTTTGAGCTGAGTTCATTTCCCCTGCTGGTTTACCCTTAAACCAGCACAGGGCCTTACCAGGAACCTGATCTTCCTGAGGCTGAAGGTGCTGGAGCTGCGCAGGTGATCGGCCAACCGGCCCGGCGTGGCCACCACCACGTGGGGCTTCCTGGCCAACTCCAGGGCCTGGGCCACCATGTCTGCGAGGGGAACAGGGCAGGTGTGTTTGGATGTTGTATAGACAGTATGGATATTCTACATGTATATATTATATATCATATATCAACATATTGTGCATATTGCATATAGTATACATGTATAAAAATATAATAATATAAATAAAATATTATGTATTACATAACAACATGTCGTGTATATTGCATATAGTATGTATGTATATATTGTATATATGCATAAAAATGTAATAATATAAATAATATAAAACATTATGTATTATAAAACAACATATTGTGTATATTGCTCACCGAGGCCGCCCACGACCACACAGTCCTTGAGGCCCAGGGGCTTCCCCAGCACTCGGAACTGCTCCGCGATCTGCTGCGCGAGTTCCCTGCGGAAGGAAGGAGGGAGGGAGGGAGAGAGGGAGGGAGGGCCGGGAAGCTCAGGGGGGCCGGTTCCCAGCGGCAGGGGCAGCTCAGCCCGCCGCGGGGGTCCCTCGGTACCTGGTGGGGGTCAGCACGAGGCAGAAGATGCCGTAGGGGTCCTCGGAGAGCGCCTGCAGCACGGGCAGCACAAAGGCCGCCGTCTTCCCGCTGCCCGTCTTGGCGCAGCCCAGGCAGTCCCGGCCTGCGGGAGGGACGGGGACCGTGAGGGGCCGCTCCCAGGGATGGGATGGGAGGCGTCAGGGACCATTCCCGGGGCAGGACAGGGACTGTGAGGGGCCGCTCCCGGGGATGGGACGGGAGGCGTCAGGGACCATTCCCGGGGTTGGGACGGGGGTCGCGAGGGGCCGCTCCCAGGAGCCGGGAGATTGCCCGTGATTGGGCCGTTCCGGGGGTTGGGAGGGTCCGCCGCGGTCTCACCCTGCAGCACGGCGGGGATGCAGGCGGCCTGCACGGGCGTGGGCCGGGTGAGCCCGACCTGCCGCGCCTGCTCCGCCAGCCACGGCGAGATCCCGAGCTCCCGGAACGCCGCCATGATCCCACCACGTGCTCGCCCCGCCCCGGGCGCGCCCCGATGGCGTCACCGCCGCCCCCGTCGCCCATTGGCCGCCGCCCTCCAGCCCCGCCCACGCCGCAGTGTTTAGGATTCTCTTGGCGTCGCTGTAGTGACGTTTCAGCTCCTATTGGCTGTCGCCATGGCGACGGCGGGCTCCTCGCGCTCCTATTGGCGGTCGCCATGACGACGGCGGCTCCCGGCGGCCCGCGGGCGGCGCGGGCGCTTCCGGGTACGTGTGTGAGGGAGCGATGGCGGCCGGGAGCGGAGCGGCGCCGGGCGGGGACGCGGACGAGCTCTTCGACCTCCGCAACAACTTCTACATCGGCGCCTTCCAGGCCGCCATCAACGAGGCGCAGCGCGCCAAGGTCGGCGAGGCTCTGGGAGGGCCGGGCGGTGCTTTGGGGGTCTTCTGGGGGGTCCTTTAAGCGCCGGGTTTGGGGCGCCCTGAGGGTCCCTCGGCCCGGCCCGGGAGAGGTTTGGGGGTCCCTGAGGGGAGATGGGGCTCCCGCGGGCTTGGGGGGGTGGGATGTGTGAGGTTCGTCTGGGGGGGATTCGTGTGGGAGGAGCTCTCTGGGGGACAGACCCCCTCAAACATTCCCGTTTCCAGCCGTCCAGCCCCGAGAAGGAGGTGGAGAGGGACGTGTTCCTGTTCCGAGCCTACATCGCCCAGGTGAGGGGCGGGGAGGGGGCTCCACAACGGGGGCGTGGGATCAGTCGCGGAATCCTGGAATGGTTTGGGTGGGAAGGGACATTTCCACTCTCCCGGGTTGCTCCAAACCGGCCTTGGACACTTCCAGGGATGGGGCAGCCACAGCTTCTCTGGGAATTCCATCCCGGCCCTCCCAGGGAGGAATTCCTTCCCCATATATCCCGGGAACGCAGAGGTTTGGGGATAACCCTGCTGCTGCCCCGGGATATCCCACATTCCCTGGATATGGAGCCTCGGGGTGTCCCGGGAACACCCCCCAGGAGCCTTGTCCTGGAGCTGGGGGCGGGGGGGGGTCAGTGCGGGGGGTTTGGGGGGATATAAAGCAGAAATCTTCCTTCCCCGGGGGTTTCGTTGTCCTCACGGAGGGTTTGGGGGGTAACAGTTGTTTGTGGAAAACAAGGGACTCACAGGCTGGGCTTTGTTGCCTTTCCCAGAGGAAATATGGAGTGGTCCTGGATGAGATCAAAGGCAGTGCCAGCCCCGAGCTCCAGGCAGTGAGGATGTTGGCAGAGTACCTGGCAAATGAGAGCCAGAGGTGAGAGACATCAACCCCCAAAACATAATATAATATAATATAATATAATATAATATAATATAATATAATATAATATAATATAATATAATATAATATAATATAATATAATGTTATAATATTACAATGTAATATTGTGGTATAATATTGTGATATTGTGTTATAATAAAATAATATATAATGTTATTTTATACAATAGATTGTATAAATGTATATACAATCTGTGTATAATATATGTAATCTATAATACAATCTATAATGTAATGGAATATAAAAAATGTAATAGAATAGAATATAAAAATAAAATATCACTGTACAATGTAATGTACAGTGATATAATTATATTGTTATATAATATAATGGTATAGTTTCATAATATAGTTAAATATAAAAAATATAGTATAATAAAATAATATCTATATTAAATATAAAACAATATTTATATATAAAGTACGTAAAATATAAAATAATATAGTATAGTAAAATCATATATATTAAATATAAAATAGTATTTATATATGAAGTACCTAAAATATAAAATAATA